GTGTGTGTGTGTGTGTGTGTGTGTGTGTGTGTGTGTGTTGCACACACGTGTGTATTTGAATGTGTTTGTTAGTTTGTCCATGTTTGAGAGTACATGTTATTTCACAATACTTAAACACGTTAAAAGGTCTTCAATTTTTAAATTATAAAGTGACTTAAAAACATGTACAGGTGATTTTTCTGGTTGAATAGTTTGTCACTGTAATAAACTGAGAACTGTGTAGTTGTTAATGCAGCAAAGGCAAATAATTGCCATATAATGGCTTTTTTTCTATTATGATATTTACGTACTTGTTATTTCAGCAAAGACAGAGCAGGGACATGGGGAGAGATTTGGTATTGGTATCCAGCGTCAGGTGGTGGTGTGGAGAAAAATTGAGAAAGATAAGTGTGACATTGAAACCGTCACTGGAAAGAAAGAAAACGGGATGTTTTACAGGTTAAAATTTTCTTTAATTTATTAATTTTAATTTTTGAATGATTTTTAACTCTAAGATATTTAAAGTCTTAGACAAAAATGTTTTATAGTGCATCCTGTTTGAAAGGTGTTTAAGTAATCCTGAATTGATTAAACATAAACATAAAATATCTTTAAGTTTGGTACTTTGTGATTGTCTGAAAGGTGCAAACTACTAGCATAAATTTAAATAAAGGATACATTTTATAGATGATTGTAAAAAAATGTAAAAAGAAATTTTGGATGTCAATCAATGACATGGTAAATACGCTACAAAATATGAATATAGAAAAGAAATTTAAACTGTGTAAAAATAATTGTAGAGGAACTGCTGTCACAGATGACCCAAAACAGACAACAGGCGGAGGTAGAACCACAGCACTGGAGCCCTCACTAGATGGCAGTGTGGTAGTCAGTGGGTCAGATGATGGATATGTCATCGCATTTGATGGCCCTCTAGGTAGATCTATCAACAATCGCAAAACATCTCCTTCAACAAGACATGCTAGAGAGGTAGGCCTTTTTTTCCACCACTGTGACATGAGAAAAAGATCTTTTAAGAAGATTCAAGATTAAAATTGTAGTTTCCAGTGATTTGGATAGCTCCGTGAGAGGGAAAAGCAACATGCTTGAAGTCTAGACTGGCATTAACAGATATAACTTGTATACAGATAACATTAAAATAATAAATTAAATTGTATTAAGAAGTTGAAACAAAATTTCAGTAATCTAGGGGATGATATTATTATTATTATTATTATTATTATTATTATTATTATTATTACAGGTCAGTCAGTTAGCTGTCTCCAGCAAAGGTCATTGGATAGCCTCCTGGTGTCAAACTGACCATTCTCTGCGGCTGTGGCAGACATTCGCCACCGATGAAGCCTGGAATTCTGGAGAAGCCATTTTTGGTCTACCCCTTTCAGAACTCTCTGTGAAAAAGATGTCTTTTTCAAGAAATGAACGCCATCTTGGAGTAATTGCTGTAAAGGGGGAAGCTGAGGAGAAACGGCAGCTGTTACTCTTTAGACTTGGAAAAGTTTGTGAGGGTTAGATTTGTTTTTATGCAAACACCATTTTGGGATGACTTGAAGATGGAAAATTGAAAATCAAGGCAGCCTTTAATTTAAACACTTTTTTGAGTTAAGACTTATTTCAATTTAATATAATGATCACAGTTTTTATTCATTTTATTATTATTATTATTATTTATATGAATATATATATTTTTGGACGAAATTTATCTTGAAGCAGACAACTTCAATTTATGCATTAAAAAATTTATTAGCTTAACTGGTAAAAATTTTTTGTATGCCAAATTATCTAGGCCCTTCTTATACTTATTATATATGTAAAATTTTTAAAGATATCAGACAGTTATAACTTTTACAATTATTTCACAATACCCACATGGAACTCTCTCAGATCAGCAACTTATCGGCCTATTTTTACATTTGTTTGTATATTTAGAAAACATTTACAAATTGAAAACCATCTTGAGGTAATCGATACAGGTTGATATGAAGGATATCAGGGGTTTTCCTTTTTATTTAACACATTTATTTATAAATTTCACATTAGGATTGGAACTTGTTAATTGTCATCCTGCTGGGAGGAAATCTAATTAAATAGACATTTTAAAAATGATCATAATTTCATCTTAATTTGAGGTTCTTAAGTTGTATTTTTTGATAGGATTAAGCTTCCTATAATGTATGCTGTTATATTCATTTTATTGTATCATCATATACAAGCACAAAGTATTTTGTAATTATTTTAAAAGTCACGTCGTAAGGCGTGTCAAATTTAGTAAATATTGATGTGTTTTTTAAAACTACAACTGCCTTTGCTTTTGATAGCAGAGAGCTAATTTATCACGTTTTTACAGAGATAATTATTTTGATATTTGTTGATTTAGTAAAGTATACATTTTTTTAATGATAATTTTATCCAGTGAAACATCTGTGATATGAATTATAGATATAATATTATGAGTCTTTGTAATAAAAATCGACGATGAAAGGAACGTTTGTGGAAGTTCTCGTTTTGGATAGTTTACGTTCCTAATAAAGACACTTGTCGTCTGCATTTTGTCGGTCAGCTCTCCCCCCCCCCTCCGCCTCTCTCACTCTCTCTCTCTCTCTCTCTCTTAAAAAGGTGCGATTGTTTTACACGTTTCACTGGAAGTCTCAAGAAGTCGAGACTGTGGGGGGGGGGGGGGGGGAGAATTTTGGTGCCAATGCTCCATAACACGGATTTTTATTAATCTTTTGATATTGATTCTCAACGATGGGAGCTCGTGAACAAAATAAGTGAGCCTACACACAATTTTTACCTTGCGAATCACAGGTCGCAAACAGAATTGGGATATCAGGAAGGGGGTCAAAGAAAAGTTATCGATAGAGAGATCAAAAGTCATTTTACATATATTTTAAGATGACACTTTGTAATATACATATGTATATTGTAACTCCAAGCTGAAGACAATGATGTGCGCAATCTTTCATCTGTGTACATGTACTGTAAGTAGATCAAAAACTGCAGCACGGTATCAAAGATAAGATATCGTTCAAGAAAACTGTGCCCTTTTCTTAAACATATATGTGAGTATCAACATAACGTCCAATGTGCAATTAATTCCACATGGCCGCCCTTTACAGGCATACTGCACGTTAGCGGACAATGGAACTTTCCTGTTATTTTGGACTTCTTACCGCAGTCGTCACGATAGGTGAGAAAAGAATAGGAAGTAGTAATTCGATTAAATCTCAAAGAAAATTTTAAAAAATCGATATGAGTCTGCAAACTTCATGGCTGTAGATATCGTGCGTGCAAACCTATACCTCATGTATTCTCTGGTGGAATGGAAGTTTTATTTGAATTATGACTGGGTTTATATTTAATATCTTTATCTTGAACTTTCCCTTGAAAGATTTTTTGTTAAAGATTTTCTGAAAAACGCTCGGTGGCAGTAGATGATCCGTATTTTAGGCCTATTGTGCCGATGTCAATTGATAATGAGGTCATTTTCTTGTGGCACAACTGTATGGTAGAAATATGGAACTCACTTGTTTACTTAATAGTCACTTCCCCCCCCCCCCCCCCCCCCATGTAATAAATTAGGCAATTACATAAAAAGCATAGTGATTTAGTATTTTGCAATGAAAAATTTCATGCAGATTTTAGGACTAAAAAGGAATTCTGGGTCAAAGAAATTGGCTGCGAAAGTTATTGAAGTAGAATGGAAGCGATCAGTCGATGCAGAAACTAGTGACGCATCGTGTACTAAAATGAAATTCAATTGTTTTATCTACCCCCCATCCGATACACTTTTGCCTGTTCCAACAAGATTTCAGTTCTGATTCGCAACGTTCCTTCGGGGAGAAATTAGGGGAGGTACCTAGAAAAGCATAGGAAGCGTTCAGACAATCCTATCATACTAGCTGGATTGATCCAACTCTGCTGGCATTCTCGCTTAAGTACAACCACTGTAATCAGCTTAATTGTCTGGCACGCCTTTTACCAGTCAGTCAAATTGCAAATTATGAAAATTATGTGGGATCGGTTGTGTCCGGATATTAAATTCGCATATTTATTTCTGCTCATTATACTTTAGGCACTGGGACACAGGTGTGTAAAGATCCCACATTTGAAGTGAAGGGTAGCGGCTATTGCTATGAACTGGTAGAAAAACAAAAGGCTCAACAGTCAGTTGCTTTGAGCAAGTGCGTAGAAAAAGGTGGTAGTCTTGCTGAAATAACAACCAGTGATATAAACAGCGGATTGGTTGACAAGTTATCATATATGGTATTATATTATTGGATCGGAGCAACAGATAGACAAAGAGAAGGAAATTGGCGGTGGTTATCAGGTAATTTTAATTGTATTTGAAAAGACCTTACGTTTACTCTATTCGTATATAACGTTCTAATGAAAATATAAAACGCCACTTCGACACCAGGCAGAGTTAAATCCCGTTACATTTTTTAAAATTCTTCATAAACTCATTTCTTAACCTCTGTTTCAAAGGCCTGTTCATAATGTTTGTTACTAGCACTGGAATGTGTCAATTGCTGCTACTGCATGAACTGATGAAAATTTAAATCATCATTCTGTGAATTTATTTTCACTACATTTTACTAAATATTTTCATTTGTTATATTATACCGGTATGGAAATCTTGTAACATCGGTATTTTCAGAAGTTCATTGCCAAATGTATTATCCATAAAATGCATGCTATTGTGAAAAACTGAAAGTTGTCTTTCCTTTATACTTCGGCGGTGAATCAGTTTGATATCTTAACAAAGATGTCACAGTCCAAGAAATAAGGAAAATGGGGCACAGTGAGAGGAAATTGAGCCCCGTTGAATTTCATATGTACATGTATATTTACACTTTGACACATCAGAGTGTTGTTTATATTAACCTGCATTAAAAGCATTCATTTCAGGACGTCCTTTGGTTTTTAAAGCTTGGGGAGGGCAGGAGCCCAATGGGAAAACTGAGGAAAATTGTGCCGTACTCACAAAATTAAGCAGATGGAAGGATTATCCGTGTTATAAAATATTTGGATTTATCTGCCAATATGGCAAGTATGAGCCGCATTGTTTAGAAAAGAAATATATGTTGAAATCTAATGGCGAAGACGCTTTACTGAATATATTATTTATCGTTTTGCTGTCATTGACATGATAGTCAAATCAGCATTAATACTATTATAACGTCGACGAGGTTCTGGAGTCTTCAATCATTTATTCACCACTTAATTTTCATACAATTTTACCCATATTTATACTCTAATTCTCCGTACTGATCACGCGTGTAATTATGTTCTTTTTATTGTTTATGGCGTGATTTCCAGAAACTTTCCATTGTTATGTTTACTTTACCATAGAACATTCCCTTATTAGGTAATGTCTAAGAACCTTGTTTTCAACTAAACTCATCCAAAATACTATTTGCATTACTCATACTTGAATCATGTCCAAAACTTAGTTATCATGTGATAAACAGTTGATCAAAATTAAAATCTGTTATGAAATTGACCAATCACATTAAATGTTATTGACTTGGACCTTTTCCATCTTCTTCTGACACTAAAAACATGTTCTACACTTGTTGACACTCGATGAAGCTTAATTTGCACTCAATATCACTCTAACTTTCCATCTATTTGATTTCCCTTTTATTACTAATTGTAATGAGTGTAAGGGTAAGTAATTAACTTTACAACAATACAGTATAGATATATGCATGTTTACAAAACGTAACGGCGGTAACATATGTAACGGCACTCTTGATCAAAAGATTAAAAAATCTTAAAGAGAGTTAATTACTGATTTATATGTTTGCCTTACTTTTGATATAAGTTATTTGTTTTGAGTTATATATGTTATGCTTGTTATGCTAATCCTCCAGATGTAAATGAATGCCACACTAAAACGGACACCTGTGACAGTCGGGCTGTCTGTACGAATACCCCAGGGAGTTATACCTGTTCATGTAAACCAGGATTTATTGGAGATGGATACAAATGTTCTGGTAATTCTATAATTGACATCAAAATTGTATTTCATGATTTTTAAAAATTAAACTTGTATCTAATTTGCATCCAAGTGGTAGTTTGATCATATATGATAATTATAAATAACGCATTTACATACTAGTATAAATAATACATTCATACCGTTAGCTTACGGTCATCCTTCATCAGACTGATGTAAGTGGATGTTGTTTCTCACTGATCACTTGGGGAAAGAGCCTCTTATAATTGTCATGTAGATATACTGCCAGACGAAGGCCTGGATGCAGGCAGTAAACTAACGGTATGGAAATATTCCAGTTTGTGTCATAATTGTCATGTATGATATTTTTTGTTTTACAGAGGTAACCACCAAAAGGATGATAACCTCCACTACCATAAATAAAGCCAGTACTCCCACCACTACACTGACAACTACCACGACTACACCCACAACTACAACCACTACACCCACGACCACTACACCCACAACTACAACCACTACACCCACAACTACAACACCCACAACTACAACCACTACACCCACAACTACAACCACTACACCCACAACCACAACCACAGCCCCCAAAATAAACACGCCTTCCCCAGCAGGCGAATCCACAATTATGGCAACCCATGCACTCAGACATACCACGAGGCAAATCACCTTTTCCCCCTATGACACAACCAGTACTCCCATTTTGAAGCAATCATCAACAAGTGCGCGCAAACCATTCCGATCTTCACTCTCACCGCATATAACATCAACAGTGATTCTAAACCATAATACAAAACTGATGACGCTGACCACTACAAACGAACAACAGGGGGTCACTCAGAGCACCAAACATACAGAAACGTATACGAGACAACAGATCTACAAACAGACAACAGATGAATATGAAACAAAGGACCCTTTTTTGTCGCCCACAACTACAGCAGAAACTAATCTTCTGGCTGCACAGCGCGAGAGACAGCATGAAGCTGAGAGAAAAAGGCGGCAGCAAGGTGCGTTATGAGTCAANCTACAACCACTACACCCACAACTACAACCACTACACCCACAACTACAACCACTACACCCACAACTACAACCACAGCCCCCAAAATAAACACGCCTTCCCCAGCAGGCGAATCCACAATTATGGCAACCCATGCACTCAGACATACCACGAGGCAAATCACCTTTTCCCCCTATGACACAACCAGTACTCCCATTTTGAAGCAATCATCAACAAGTGCGCGCAAACCATTCCGATCTTCACTCTCACCGCATATAACATCAACAGTGATTCTAAACCATAATACAAAACTGATGACGCTGACCACTACAAACGAACAACAGGGGGTCACTCAGAGCACCAAACATACAGAAACGTATACGAGACAACAGATCTACAAACAGACAACAGATGAATATGAAACAAAGGACCCTTTTTTGTCGCCCACAACTACAGCAGAAACTAATCTTCTGGCTGCACAGCGCGAGAGACAGCATGAAGCTGAGAGAAAAAGGCGGCAGCAAGGTGCGTTATGAGTCAACAAAGAGTCATTTCTATTTTTTCCAAAGGTGACGCCAGGTAATAATTAGTAATTTACATCTGAGACCAAACAAGAACATGATATCTTGAGGATGCATATTGCGTGGGATGGCAGAAACTTTTTAACCGACCAAGACATACAAACATATTGCATATCAATAAAAATCTTATTTCAATAGTATTCATTTTGTATCCTTATTTTATAACATAATAGCATTTAAGTCGATATAACGCTTTATATGTTCCTGCCACCCACTATGCGCATCCTTAAAGAAATTAATAATTGTATTTTTTCCTTCCAAATGAAAATTTTCTCGTATATGTGCGAACCATTACTTGGCACTTCCCTACAATACACCGAGAAAACTGAATTCTGATTCTTGACAAATTATTAACTAATTATAAACTAGTTTTTAATTGATCATTAAGTAGTTGATGGGTCGCCTCTTAAATATAATCACTATAAGGTACCCAATTTGTAATCTATTCTAAAATTTTCATCAAAATTATTCCATATGTTTTTGAGTTAGGCTAGTGATGAACGAACAAAAGTCTATGAAAACATAACCTCCTTGGCGGAAGTAATTAAAATATAATATTAAGTGATTGTCCATAATGTCCCATACACTTCAGAAGGAAATACTGACATCAGGCACTTTTATTTGATGGATTTTATGTAAACATAGCAACTATGGCTTTGAGGGGAATATATAACGCGGGTAGTACTTGCATATATTTAACCCTTCTAGTTGTGTGTATATAACCGATATATATTCCAACCCTGTACTTATCTCGCCTTGTTTCAACTTGGGAAATATGTCAGTCAGTCATTAACGACTTACGCTGTACGTATGACATCCGTCTATCTTAAGTTAATTTTTTACATAATGAAGCAAAGCAGTCAAGTCATATATGCATGTGTATAACAACTGGTGGATTTAGAATGTCTCTAAGGGCGGACAGAAGGCTAATACATATGTTCCACTCACTTCAAACCTTCAATTGATAACTAAAATATATAAAACAAGGTTCAGTGAGCTATAATAGTGTTCTTTTTTCCTTTCGGGGAATATAGGGCAAGTGAAATATTTAACCACGTTTTCATGCACTCAATGCTCGTTTTATTCCACTTTTTTCAACTATAGAAATATACACATACACCGGGGCCGGTGGCGGGGCAGCGCTGTTATTCATAATTGTTGGAGTTACTGTTCTAATGTGCCGTAGGTAAGCAATAATGCCCCAGCATTTCTTCGTCATTTGTATTTTTTTTGTATTTATATTGTATTGTATTTATATTGTAAATTTGTAGAAAAACTGAAAGTAAATTTCTGTTTCCTTGAAAATGTTGAAAGTTCTCCCCTTGCGATAGCTTATGTAAATGGTCTTTGTTATCTTATTTTTTTTTTATTCAAAGCAACTACAGAAGTAAAGCAGCATTCTCTCTTTAAATATTTTGCAAACACATTAGTCTATATCTTATCTTTGTCTTACTATTCTAAATATGAATACTTTGTAAGAAAATATTATACAGAAAACTTATGTGTATACAGTACCACCAAATTAACAAGTTTACCAATGGTTGGTTCTTAATTCAAAATTCTGTTAATCTGTTAGAAATACTTTGAAATGCATGTGCTGTGTACATATTTCAGAAGACATCAAAACAGCCCGCGTTACCTGGAAGACACAGATGAACGAGAGGGCTCTAAGAATCAACACCTCGAGTTCGAAAACCAAGTATACCATGAGCAGACATCAGCCTGAGTGTGTCCACAGACACAGACCAGCTTTTTAAATTTTCCAATGTCCATATCTGCCTGTTTCACGATCCTGAACCGCTTCAGCGTTTGACTGAAGTCAACTGCATATCAAAAGATAGATATGTCTCTTGATTAAGTTACATTTTCCTATAAGATACGGGTAGCTTATACGGATTCACAAATCCGGTGGATAACTGGGTGAACGTTTGTGATTGGTGCAAAAAACGTAATTATCACATGATATAGATATTTGGGAATCTAAAGTATCCGGTTTGAAGCTCAGGGTCATGAAGTCACGAACACTCTCAGAAAAAAAAACGACTTATCGCTCAACAGAAATAGGCTGCAGTATTAACCAGGACATAAACCGGCGAATTGATCCGAAAATACACGAACTCTGGGGTATGGGCAGCGAGAAATATGAAAGTACATTGATTATTTCATAGCGTGTAACCGAAGTTAATGAGGCACCTGTCACGCATTACGTTTTTTTTTCAAACATGTATATGTCGTGTTCGAAAAAGCCATAAATTGCGTATGGCATTGTTAAAAAATGTTTAAAAATTCTATAATTGTGACACGTAACTCCCTCCCTCTTAAAATATGATCAATATGCAGGGAAAGGGCTGATAAAAGAAAGGCATTTGAATATGATATTATATTAGCGCTCGTTTGATACAGAATTTTACTACGAAAATTATGACAGACCGGCACAATTGAGAGGAAAATTTCGGAAAGTTAAGAAATATAATGATTGCATTCTACATGTGGTGCTGAAATCATCTCTGTCAACCAGGCTCCATAAAGTTTATCAGTGTTACATTTCCTACATTTGTATGTTTAAATGTATACATTCAGCTTTAAAAAAACTAGATTCAGCGATAAAAATGCATTATATTCTATTCAATTATCTAAAGCATAGCTTGAGTTGATTTCTGAATTTGAAGAACTGCTTTTAACTTGCTCACAAAGTTTTGCAGAATGGAATGGTCATAAAATTGGGGGGAAATACTGTTTCTCAGATTGGAGAGGATGGGATCAATAAGCTGACGTGGTTTAATTTCCCCCGTGGTTTAAGGATAGGGGAGGGTAGGGGCGCCCATTAGGTTTACTTTGAAATATCGCATGAAAATTTTGAGTGTCCAAGCTATCCCGATTAATCAGTTCGCAGAACCAGAAAATTGAATGTCTACACATAAAGATATTTGTAACTTGTGGTTTTGAGGAGGGGTGGTTAATTGTCCCCTCTTCTAAGGTATGGGATCTGTGTCAGTTAACGCTCTGATGATCTGCCGTCAATAGATCACCCGTTGACCCCAGATAAACTTTAAAACTGTGTCGAGAGGGTAAACAGATAGGAGTGTGGTGTTTGTGACCGGGCCAGGATAGGTTAAGCATTAACTTCTTACCCGTAGATAAATACAGATAACAATAAGCTGCTGAATATATATATATATATATATATATATATATATATATATTGATCTCAGAGCTATGAGAGTGAGATCATGAGGTGTGATGACAGATCAAGTACTTGACTTTATAAGAATATAAATGATTTGGAACCGAACCCTTACAACTAATTATAAGTGGTTGCTTACATTACTTCCATCTATGCAAGTTTATATGTCAAGTAAAAACGCGGGCAAAATGAGACTAGTTAAACAGTGTGATTGGCGCTGAGTGTGTTAGTTGTGATCAATTGTGACGTATGAATGCGCTGCCTTGTGACCGGATATGTTGCAATACGTGCTCTAGAGGAATATGACGAAAACTGGATATATACGCCTCCTTTCCCTCTGTAAATATTCATTAAGATAAATGTGTAAATAAAATTTTCATGTCCTGGCCTTGTGATTATCAAATTCTAATTCGGCATACACCTTCCTGCTATTTTAGATGCAGACCACATTTTGTTTTGGAGAAAAATAATACGGGGGCACCCAGCAACTACACGTACCCGCATACCGATAAGGTTAATATTGAAAATATTGATGATAAGCACCGGAGATGTTGGGCACAAGTACGACACAAGTATCATATTCTCACCTGACGCTGGCACTGCATCACTGATAGCTAGGCCGAACCAAGTTAAGCTGTGTTTTTCAAAACAAAAAATGAAACTGTTAACCAAACAAACAATCAAGCAAACAAACAAACAAACGAAAAAAAAAGCACCTAGAAGAGCATTATTGACAATGAGTTAGGTATTTTATCTTCAAAAATGACAAAAACTGCAGCTTCATGAAAACAGCTTGATAAAAACAACAAGGTACCAAAAAAGAGTTAACTAACATTTTGACTTGGCCTTAACGATCTTTGAGCATGAATCAGGTGATTACAGTTCTAGGCCTACTAACAGCACAGTTACATAGACACCCCCAAAATGGCGACAGCTGCACCCAAATCGGAATCAGAAGATGAAAAATCCCTGAGAACTGTGATAACTGAGAACTTTGTGAGTTGCCCTATATGTCTTGTGGAGTACACGGACCCGACAGATTTGCCATGTAAACATACATTTTGTAAAGGGTGTCTGTCGACTTTAATATCTCATTTAAAACCAGGAAGTAAGTTTCCATGTCCGGTTTGTCAGCGAGAAATAGAAGTGCCTAAGAATGGACTTGGGGGCTTTACTCATAATTTCTTTGTTGAAAGCTTGCAGGACAGTGTTCTGGACAGTGTTCTTAAGGCATCCAAAAAGACAAAGTGCAGCTTTTGTGCCTTGGCGTCTGAATCTGAAACTGTTGCCACTGCTAAATGCATCACCTGCAATGACTACCTGTGTGAAAAGTGCTCTAAGTTACACTGCAGTACCAGGTTCACCAAAGACCACAAGGTCCTCACTTTTCAACAGATACAAAGTGAGGAGTACCAAACGGTAATCCAAGAACAACGGATTATTTTCTGTCCCGAACACAAAGACGAACCTCTACGGTACTACTGCGTGAAATGTGAGAAACCCGTCTGTCGTGATTGCAAGATCTTAGGTCACGATCGTCACAAGGTGACGACTTTGTCAACAGCTTCTGAAGATGTCAGCGGTGAACTACAGTCATTATTAGAACTTTTTGAGACACAAGACGAAACTATACAAGAGAAAATCGGGATACTGGAGGAAATGAGGATATCGTTCCAGGAAAATAAGGAACACATTTGCGTCGAGGTTTCACAAAGAGCAGATCATATTTGTCAGATAGTACGTTTAAAAGAAAAAGACATTCTACAGGACTTAGAGCAGTCGTTTTCTGTTCAGATGAAAAACTGGAGTACAGCCCACGATCATTTCAGCGGCATATCTTCCACCTTGAAGAGTTGTGTAAATGTTATAAGAAACACCCTGAAACGAGGTGTCCCAGTAGAGATCCTCATGTTACCGGACCGGTTAGAGAAGCCGTCTGGACTAGGTTTAAAGGACAAACTAACCGAAGACGAACTATACAAAGAATTAAAACTCACATTTGAGACCAACCAGGATGTGGACCAAGAGATATCGAGTGGAGCTGGCCTTGGACAAATCCATGAAGAATGGAGAGAGACTAGCCTATTCGAGGAAGACACCTCCGAGTCCACTAGTGAAGATGAAGAACAGGCTTCAAACTCAACATCACCGGCGACCACTAGTGAAGATGAAGAACAGGCTTCAAACTTAACATCACCGGCGACCACTAGTGAAGACGAAGAACAGGCTTCAAATTCACCATAATCAGTGCCTTCTCCACAAGATGAACCAACATTAGTAAACTACATAATTGTGGTGTTTGACATTTAAGGTAGTCCAACTGGAGACTGTATCACATGGGCTATATGAACCACGGGCATGCACCATCAACCAGGAAGGAGATCTTGTTGTAAGAAGAAACTACGGAAATTGAAAGTCTATCGTTATTTGGAAACTTAGATTTAACTTGACTTAACTAATAATACCAATAATGATATATTAACATATAAAAATCCATGGACATTATGAACTGTTTGAAATGTGCCACAATTCATTTTCAAATAGAACATTATTAGTTTCTTCATAGAAATTTGTATTCATAGCACTCGAATATAACTGTCAAACAGTACGGTTTTATGGATTTATTCACAATTCTGAGAACCTATGCTTGCTTTTTTGATTTCATATTTTGTCATAGGTTTACAATGTCTGTCTTTAACCTTTATATGTTTGTCGATATGAATGAAAATGATTAAGTTTTAGAATAACAAAGATTAAGTTATTTACAGTCAACCATGTTAAAAAACTGCTCCGTAAAAAAAGTGAATTTGAATGGTGGCTTTTAATTTCAGATCTTTCCCAAATAATATCAATGTTTTGAAAATAATACCCTTGATATTGGAATTTATGCAAAAAGTGAGCCACCCGAATTTATTTTTCGTGTTGTTGTTTTGTAAGACAAACTCTTTTTAAATTAAAAATAAATCATGTATCGTTCAGTATTTATGATGGAAAACGTTTTTTTTTTGATAGATGATAGACAAATTAAAAAAAGGACTGTTTGTATTAAAAAAATCTGTTGGGCATCCTTGACGCAGTTTTCAAAAACAAATCCCACATTTTGTAAGATTTTTTTTTTTCTGATGGACTGTATAAATGTATAGATGGATAATTATGAATAGTTACATATTCACGTATCAACATAAAAGCTAGATGTCCTCCTTTCTTTTCTGTTTGGAAAATGTAGGTGGTTTGGTTGTTATTTTGACAACCATTCTGAGCAATAGTGCACATACAACTATTTTTTCCCAATTGATATTCTGCCTGATTAAAATGAATGGGGTTTTAGCAAAATATGACGGGTTCTAGACCTTTGAAAATTAGGGGATGAGACATAACCCCTCCCTCGCCTGGTATTTTTCTCGTATCTCAATTTAAGTGAAGTTAAGGCTTTTTAAGTTATTCACTTTTTTCACTGGGGTTTAAAAGGCTTTGTTTAAAAAAGTATATCAGTCCCAGTGAGATTTTAACCGCCAGCACAATCAATAAATCTCTCCTAACGCATTCACCTCCATAAGACTGGTGATATGTTCATTGGCCACAAGATGACGAGGCGATCAATCCACCTTTCAGGGTTGTCAGGTGCAACTGTAATGATAAATGTTAAATAACATGGCATATGATTTCCCTTGGCTGAACCATTTTAAAAACAAGTAAAAGTAAAAACAATTAAAATTATCTATAGCTACAGCAGCCTCACGTGCACCGTGAAAAATGCATGTTTGCTATTGGTGCTGAAATATTTAAAAAAGGACAGTTCCTAATTTTACTTTGAAAAACAAATACATTGTTAGTAATTTTTGCTTGGTCGTTTTTTATCAGTCATGTATGCTCTTCTGAATTTACTGAAACTAATTTGATAAATAAACGAACGAATAATAAATAGTTATGAATAAACATTACAGCCTAGTAACATGCCCAGTACAACCTGCGATTGGGTGACCCTAGATTTAGGTCAGCCACAGCTATTGATTTGCACTTTATTCACAATGCAGTTCAGTATAATATGCTCACGGTTCAGTCTTGAACTTCAAAATGGCGACAGCTGCTCCGGAATGTGAGGTAGAAGATAATGAAAGAAGTCTAAGAAGTGTGATAACTGAAAACTTTGTGAATTGTCCTATATGTCTTGTGGAGTACACGGACCCAACAGATTTGCCATGTCAGCATACATTTTGTAAAGGGTGTCTGTCGACTTTAATTTCTGATTTAAAACCAGGAAGTAAGTTCTCATGCCCGGTTTGTCAGCGAGAAATAGAAGTGCCTGAGAATGGACTGGAGGGCTTTAAACATAATTTCTTTGTTGAAAGCTTGCAGGACACTGTGCTTAAACCAACCAAAAAGGCAAAGTGCAGCTTTTGTGCCTTGGCGTCTGAAACCGAAACTGTTGCCACATCTAAATGTATCACCTGCCATGACTACTTGTGTGAAAAGTGCTCTAAGTTACACTGCAGTACCAGGTTCACCAAAGACCATAAGGTCCTCACTTTTCAACAAATACAAAGTGAGAAGTACCAAAAGATAATACAAGAACAGCAGGTTATTTTCTGTCCTGAACACAAGGACGAACCACTTCGGTACTACTGTGTGAAATGCGAGAAACCCGTCTGTCGTGATTGTAAGATCTTAAGTCACGATGATCACAAGGTGATAACTTTGTCAACAGCTTCTGAAAATGCCAGCTGTCAACTACAGTCAAGATTAGAAGAACTGGAGACAGAAGACGTTATAATACAAGAGGCAATGGGGATAGTGGATGAAATAAGTTTATCCTTCCAGGAAAACAAAAAATCCATTAAGGTTGAAATTTCACAAAGAGCAGATAACCTTTGTCAGTTAGTGCGCCAAAAAGAAAAAGCCCATCTTGAAGAAGTAGATGGAATCTTTTTAGCTGAGATGAAAAACTTAAATATGTTCCACGATCATTTCAGCGGCTTATCTTCCAGGATTAAGAGTGATGTAAATGCTGTGAGAAATACTCTGAAACGAGGTGTCCCGTTAGAGGTCCTCATGTTAGAGCACCAGTTAAGAAATAGAATAGACGAGCTACAGCACACAACAGTCGTAACCGAAATACCCAAAGAATATGAACTCACATTTAAAACCAACCAAGATGTTGACCAAGATATATCGGGTGGAGCTGCCCTTGGAAAAATCTATGAAGAATTGAGAGAGAATCGCCTATCTCAGGAGTGCACCCCCGAGCCCACTGGTGAAGATGATGAACAGCCTTCAAACTCCCCATCAATGGTCCCTGTTCCACAAGTCAAACCAACATTTAAGTCCAAGGTTGAGTGCGTTCTGGAGTTTGACACTGGCTGTTACAGACCAGGGGACATTTCAATTAGTCCAACTGGAGAGTATGTCACCGTTTATGACACAGAAGCCAAACTGAATGTGTTTAGTTCAGATGGCACATTTAAGACATCCATTACCAGTGTTTCAGGTACCAAACTACAGTTCCCTGTAGGAATATGTCACTTCCCTGATGGCAGAATGATTGTGTCTGATAATGGCAATAACAAGCTTTTTATGTTGTCATCACAATGGGAAGTGCTCCAAACGACTTGTGTCCAGGAACCATGGGGTGTGGCTCTCAACGACAATTATTCGGAGGTTGCTGTTGCACGTCTGGGGACGGCAAGGGCGATACGTTTGTACGACATTGACAGAGAAAGAATAGCATTGACTGCTGATCATGAAATAAATTCTTACAATGGGACACCAATATTCGATGAACCATATAAGGTGGCATATATGAAAAACGGTTGTATTATTGCCTGTGATGATAAAGCAAAGAAAGTCCATATCCTGTCCCCAGCTGGTGAACCACTGTATCAGTACACAGGACCTGATAATAATCTAGGTTCACCCCATGGGGTCTGTGTTGATGCATATGACAACATACTGGTCACAGATATTGATAACCACTGCATACACCTTGTATCCCGAGATGGGAAGTTCATCCGGTACATAGTAACCAAAGCTGATGGACTGTGCGACCCATGGGCATGCACCATCAACCAGGGTGGAGATCTTGTAGTAACCGAACACGACGGAAAATTAAAAGTCTATCGTTATTTGAAAAATTAGATTTAAATTGACTTAATAAATAATAATAATAATGATATATTAAGATATAAAAAATCCATGGACATTATGAACTGTTTGAAATGTGCCAAAAATTCATTTTAAATAGAACATGATAAGTTTCTCCATGGAATTTTGTATTAATAGCACTCGAATATAACTGTCAAACAGTATGGTTTTATGAATATATTCACAAGTCTGACAACCTATGCTTGCTTTTTCTGATTTCATATTTTGACATAGTTTTACAATGTATGTCTTTTATATGTTTGTCGATATGAATGAAGATGATTGAGTTATATAATAACAAAGATTAAATTATTTACAGTCAACCATGATAAAAAACTGGTCCGAAAAAGGTGAATTTGAATGGTGGATTTTAATTTCAGATCTTTTCTTTATAATATCTATGTTTTGAAAATAATACCCTTGATATTGGAGTTTCAGTAAAAAGTGAGCCACCCCGAATGTATTTTTCGTGTTGTTGTATTGTAAGACAAACGCATTTTAAATTAAACATAAATCGTGTATCGTTCAGTATTTATGATAGAAAATGTTTTCTTTTTCTTGATGGATGATAGACAAATTTAAAAAGGATTGTTTTATTTTAAAAATTATTTTGTACTTCCTTGACGCGATTATCAAAAACAAATCCCAGCGTTCATTTGGCTTCTCCTTTACGTAATAATTATATACTCATATTCCTCTTATTTTAAATTGTACAATAAAAAAATTATAAATTGTTCATTAAAATAAACATAATCTACAACAATATCAAAATAATTAAAATACATAAATAAAATAAACCGTGATGACTATTCAGGTACGTCCGTTCCTATCAATATCTGGGTCGCTATTATAAATCTGATTTTCGTTTTGGAGAGACATTGTATTGAGTGGTATAATAGTCACCTAAGGAGGGATTGTACTCTGAGAAATCTGATATATATGTGAGTTCGGGGAGGCTGGAGTAAAGCTTGCCATTCTAGTTTGCAAAGAAAAAATAAACATTACAGAATTGACTTGAGAATTTAGAGTATTTTGAACACGAAGCATGGATCTATGGGCCTTGGCGTCCTTTCTCTTCTGTTTGGAAAATGTAGGTGGTTTGGCTGTTATTTTGACAACCATTCTGAGCAACAGTACACGTACCACTATATTTTGTCCCAGTTGATATTCTGCCTGATTAAAAAGAATGGGGTTTTAGCAAAATATGACGGGTTCTAGACCATTCAAAATTTGTTGGAAATCCTGTCCGCAGCTGGTGAACCACTGTATCAGTATACATAACCTGGTAACAAGTTAGGTCGCCCCCATGGTGTCTGTGTTGATGCATATGACAATATACTGCTCACAGATACCGATAACCACTGCATACACCGTGTATCCCCAGATGGGAAGTTCATCCAGTACACAGCAACCAAAGATGATGGACTATGTGACCAATAGGCATGTACCATCAACCAGGATGGAGATCCGGTCGTAACAGAAGGCAAAGGGAAAGTGAAAGTGTGTTGTTATTTGGAAAAATAGAATGTTGATATTTCCAATTACATTGAATGCATATATATTTATGCATGTAAAATATACAAAAATATGGCCTCTTTGGAACAATTACAGGTATACCATGGATTATTACATTTTGGTTATTATTTTTGGCAGTGTATTGTTTTGGTTACCGTTCGTTCTTTCGGTTGTTTGACTGTTAGCAGGTTTACGCAAAAGTTAATGAACGGATTTTGATGAAAATTTTAGAATATGTTACAAATGAACCTAGAAAGAACTGTTTATATTTTGGTGATGATACATTATTTATTTATTTATTTATTTATTTATTTATTTATTTATTCATTTATTTATAAGTAGTTATTCAAGTCAAAAAGTGGTGGACGGATTTTGATGAATTTTCAAAATAGGTCAGAAATAGTTCAAGGAATATATGATTCGGTTGTGGTGATGGCCCGTTAGTTAATCGATTTATTATTGATGCTTAGTTCATTTCCGTCTAAACGTGATGAACGGAGCTTTGATGAAATTTTCAAGGTAGGCGACAAATGGGCCTAAGAAGTAGTTATTGGATTTTGGTGGTAATTCATTAATTAATTATATATTAATTATTTCAAAATTAATTTTTAAGGATAGGTTACAAATAAAGAGGAAAGAAATTATTACATTTTGGTGATGCTCCACTTACTAATTAATGGTTAATTATAGGTTGATTAACCTTAAATTTATTAGTACTCCATAGTTATTTGTTATTCAGTTATTTGTTTTGTCGGGGGTCAGCACTCTTTGCAAGCTTTTGTGTGAATTTGGAATTGTAACATTCCAAAATTACTTACAAACAGTATGCTTTTGTAAAAAGTGTCAAACTCCAAAATCTATCTTTACTGCTTTTTAGTACAATTCATTCGATGCAGTAGTGCATATAATATGTTTAATGTAGGCTACTTGTAAATATATGAATATTGAGAACTAAGTTGTACAAAGTGAATTTTGCGTGGAAACTTAGTTTTGGAGTGTTAGTTTGTTAAGTGTTGTTAGAACAAAAGTGACCATAGCCGAATAGGCTGGCATAACAAATATAAATCTGGAATTGTGGCTTTTAGTTTTAATTTAAATTAGTTTATTGAAGGGAATCTTAGTTTTATTTTTGAACGTTATCTGGGTATTCAAATTTGTAGCTGGTAGCCTACTTAGATTTTTTTTTGTATGTGCATGAAGGAGTTGTTGCAGTATGTGACGTTGTTGTGTTTATTATTTTAGTTAAGCTAATTTATGTTGTTTAATTTATATGAATAATTACCGTATGTGCCTGCATACTTGTATAATGTAAATGAAGTGCGGGACTGCTATAAAGTGCGAGACTCCGGAGAACATGAACTGATGCAAAACGTGAGTGTGGACAGTGTGTAACACTTTTACAGTACAAGAACTGTACTTTATTAACTGTACTTTGTGATGGGCAATGCCAAAAAGCCATGGGACAGTTGCACGATTCCGTGAATGCATTGGTAAAGCATATTTGTATGTTGCATTGAGCAACAGAGGTGAACAAACCTCGTGACAGTGACTTACAAGTGCGCAATACCGTAGCACGTGCGGATTGACAGACAGTGAAATAGGATCACGTCTTACACAAGTTACGACGCAATATGATGGCCCAAGAGTACAGAATTCTCCTAGGAGCACAACACTCATTTAGTGACAGAGAGGCACACTATCGGGAGGATCGTTCACCAGACTGGGACTCTGAAAACTGTGACATTGTGCTTTAAAACTGTCTACGAACCTATTAGAATTTAACTGCACAGGGTATTGACAAATGTTAAAGTTTTTGCAGCATGTTAGTATTAGTTAGTGTATGTAGTGTATGTTAGCTGTTTATAATATATTCGTTGTTTGTGTTTTTTTATGTTCGGGCTGCTTCGGTCCGTAACAAGTACCATATCAGAAAAAAAATTCATTACACAATACGTGTAGAAATAACATGCTGTAATGTATTTGCGGCAAATGTCCACCTCTGTATAAAGTTAAATTCTTCAGTCCTCCCCATTTTAAAACATCAATTTATTAAAGTATGCTTGTTTTGCAACAACCAATTTTTATATGTTCCTTATTGGCTGTAAAAATTAAAATAATTAAAAGCGATGGACAGTTATGGCAACGTAAGGTAATAGCCTCACAACAATCAAATTATAGTAATCCAAAGTCATTTTACAACTTAATTTTAACCCTTTAAAGTAAGCTGCAAAATTATTAAAAATGACGTCGCATGTTGGCCTACGTGAGCCAGGTCTTGGATAAGAATGGAAGTTGTCTGCAGGCAATTCGCGATATGAAACATATGTAATAAAGAAAGTCTTTCTATAGATTTTATATCACTTTCTTTAAACGTGCCATCACCCAAAAAGCAATGAAGGAGAAACGATATGTTAGGATTTTTTCCTCATAAGTGCAGAAATATGTTACCGTGTTATGAGGTAAAGCTGCCGCATAAAATGCACTGGGATGAATTTTTCTGATTCGAGCTGATGACGAAACAGCAGTGATTTCAGTGTGAAACCTGTGGTGTCGATTCTTAACAGTTCTCCCTGACCTGAGCAGCTTTCAACGCCGTTTTAAACATCACAATAAGTGCTACATTGCGGTGCCAGTATTTTTCTTTCTTTCTTTTTTAAAGACTTACTATCGATTTTATCAGCAAAGAAGAAAAACAATACCTTCGTACTGGATCATCGTAGTTAGGGTCTCCTATCTCTTAAAAATGCTTCATATGTGAAAGCATGTCTTACTAAATCCGTCGATGATTGGGCAACGGTGGCGGTTTGGTCACTGTCTCTCCCTCCCCAATCCAAATTTTGCTCTCTTTCAGCGTGGGTACGATTTCTCGCGTTTTTCGTGTTGTCAAGAGCTGTCTTTATGATGATCATGCATGCCAGACGAAGTTCTGTCTCCACTTTCGCTGCTTGGCTAAGGCTTATTACGGCCCTCGCTCATTGCCTTGTGATTATAGATTTCATTTCAGAGAGAGGTCTTCTTAAAACGCCACCGGTAAAGCCTTGTCCTTCTTGATACACTTCTGCCGCCTGCGGTGCTTCGACAATTTTTATCCCATTTTTTTTCCTACGCGCTGTGTACTCCAGTTGCAGTAAAATTTATTGGGCTTTTATTTCCATTACCTTGCCTTGTTTAAATGCATTGAAATGATGCCACTTTCGCTCTCCTTTTCCTTTGCATAATGATGCTAATTTTTTCGACTGCTGTGTTGATCTGTTTCTGAAGATGTTTCAGAGAGTGTGCAATTTTTCCTGCCTTTTGGGTTCTGTTAGCATGTGTGTAAGTAGTATCATCCTCAGTTATTGGATATGCTGGCCAATTGCAAATGTCGTTTAATTGCGCGGTGTCAAATGATTAGGTGTCTCGGACCACAGGTAAAGCGGGTTGCTCTGCGTGCGGACCAAGATCCAATTAACATAATGTGCTGGGTACACGGTGCAGACAGTGAGACTGACATTTCTGACGCGTACGTCACCTTTTTTTTTTTGTACGTTTTGAGGAAGGGCAAACGGAAGGTGTGTGCACAAGACAAAGCGTTTTGGAAGAAGAGCTCTTTAAATTAAACTGGGAAATTGCTTCAAAACTTTGGTAAATGTACCGGTACAACACTAATGACAGACGTTAGACTGGTCGTTTTATTCGTTTACATGTAGCTGATACGTTACGCGTTGCTTATATGAATGCACGAATCCGGCGGATGACTGGGTGAACGTTTACGATTGGTGCGGTCAAATTAATTTGAACACGATGTTGTGGAGATTTGGAATGACGAGGTTTCCAAGCTTTATTGAATATAAATATAACTCTGTATAGGTATAATTATGGCACACATGCTTCTTGCATATTCAATGCCCAGGACTCTACTGATGATTAGTATTGATGTCAGCGTGTGTGCCGGTTGCTTGCATCACTACCACAATTGACGCAATAGAACCACAGTATTACTTCTTTTAATAAGCATGCGCTGCGAGTCCAAACGTCCGACTCCCATCTAATCAGGTAATATCATATATAGAAACGTATGTTTGCGTAGAAATGAGCCTCTTAGTATTTAATATAAAACAGCTGGTTTTCCTGGGTTCGACTGTGGCCATGGTCATATGTCTGGTAATTTGGTTCATATGTGTACCCGGTATATACAGAGAGAGAAAGAGAGAGAGAGAGACTTAAAAATAATTGTAAAATAGTGCAATCGCCTCCCTATTTGTCGTCCCGATGGAGCCGAGATTTAATGACTGTACCCCCGCAGGAACGACGCATGGGGAGGCGTGTGAGAGGCGGAGAGACTATTAAAAGATTAGGCGGGTTTTTTTTTTCATGTACGTCTGCCATATTTAGTTCCAGGATTTGTAAAGCCATGACTCAACTCGTTGTGAATGCGATCCAAGACCTCAGAACCTGGCTTATTATTATTATTATTATTATTATTAGGCTATTATTATTATTTGCGTTACAGGAACCAAAATGAATGTAAAAGTCTGCTAATGAGCCCAGCTAACGCATAGCATTTTAAAAACATTTCAAAAAGGTAGACACTGTAACATTTCTGCATAACTTTTCAATAATTTTATTCAAAGATCTTTATAACGTTCCTTAAACGTTATGTTGAAAACTTTATACATAACATTTGGATAACATTTTCAAAATGTTGTCGCTTAAACATTTTAATATGCACAATATTTTAACAGACCTCAGCTGACTGTTTGATACGCCAGCTCTAACCACGATTCCTTAATCTAACGCCTACATGTAACTATAATGCAAATGTGAACCTACGACCTAGGGTATTCAATCCAACCGTCTTTAACTTAGACCCATCAAGCCACCATGAGATGTTTTTTTTTTTCTTGGTCTGTCATAGATATTCAACCTAATCTTAGTGGAATAATTAAATGTTTTATTTTGCATTTAATTTGCTAAATTTGCAAGAAAAGGCAAAAGTTATATAAATTAACATATCTAATTAGAGGAAGCTTTCCTTGTTTCTACACAATTAATTGTTATATGACAGGCTTCTTCTGACGGTTATAGTTGAGGTGAGTGGCTGCCTTTCACTAATACCCCATTCACACTACAGTTGCAAAAATGCGCATTTCAATAATCCGAATTTTTCGTGAGGAATTCGATTCGGTATTGCGTTCACACACGCTAAGCGAAACCGAATTACACGTTGAAAATTTCAGGTTTAACTTCCTGTTTGAACACTCGCGCATGCGCTGCACATGAAATCTTAAAATACCAACAAAAATTTGTGACGACAAATGCAACTCTAAAGACATTCCAGCATTCTTGAGAAGTATAAGATGGCAAAATAAGTTTGTTTCCTCATGTTGTAGTGAGTGGTGACCTCCAAATACGTTTGGTGCAATCGCTAAAGTAATAAACAAGCGTTCATAGGTACCCGCACTTAACTGCACACATGCGCAGTTACATCTGTACAGGTGTCGATTCCGGTAAGTTATCCGGATCGCGCTTAGAAATCCACCTCGCTTGCAGGATTTTGAAAATGCGCATTGCAAAAATCCTCTTGCGTTCACACTACTGCATTTATTCGAATTGTGACCTAATTCGCAATTTATCCGGATAACTGAGCGTAGTGTGAACGGGGTATCAGATAATAAAATGCTATTCATTCAAAGCAACCATTATATAAATGCAGGCAAGTTATCCCAAATATCCCAACCTACCTTAGCCAGAAGTACATAAAATTGATGAATATCCCTGTAAAGCTTGTAGCGTTTTTCTAAGTTCCCCTTGAACTCTACTACCAGGGATTCAAACTTCCTGGAAAAGCTAAGGGCCTGCCTGATATCCATTTCTCCTGACACTACTAATTGCTCAGCTCTGCTTATCAGTTCCTCTGCCTCAGAAAGAACTTTCTGGAATATATGATAAAGGAGATCAAAGTGTTAACTGTTTTCCAGTATCATTTCTTAAAAGTAAGATAAGCTTGTAATAACCTTAAAAACACCCTCTCTACTTTATTACCAGGCTTGTAAATAATGATGATAGAATGTTAAATTGTAAAAAAAAAAATTTTGAAGGAGAGAGTGATGAAATTGAGAACTAACAAGTGGTTTCTCCAAATCAGTACAGAAAGCAAAACA